CCTTTCCACTTCCGTGCCACCCAGCAGGTCATTCCCTAGGCTGTAGGTGTGCTGGACATTTTTCCTCCCTAGGTGCAGTACTTTGCATTTCTCCTTGTTGAACTGCATTCTGTTGCTTTCTGCCCACTTGTCCAACCTGTCCAGATCTGCTTGCAGCTGTTCCCTGCCCTCCGGCGTGTCCACATCTCCCCATAGCTTTGTGTCATCTGCAAACTTGGACAGAGTACATTTCACTCCCTCGTCCAAGTCACTGATGAAGACATTAAAGAGTATTGGTCCAAGGACCGAACCCTGTGGGACCCCACTTCCCACACCCTTCCAGGTCGAAACCGACCCATCCACCACGACTCTCTGGGTGCGGCCCTCCAGCCAATTCGCCACCCACCGGACTGTGTAGTCATCCGAGTCACAGCCTCTTAACTTGTTCACCAGTATGGGGTGGGATACCGTATCGAAGGCCTTCCTGAAGTCTAAGTATACGACATCCACCCCTCCTCCTGTGTCCAGGCCTTTCGTAACCTGGTCATAAAAAGAAACTAGATTGGTCAGGCACGATCTGCCTGCCACGAACCCGTGCTGGTTTCCCCTCAGCATAATTTGTCCTGCCGGGCTCTCACAAATGTGAGCCTTGATAATTTTTTCAAAGACTTTGCCAAGGATGGAGGTGAGACTGACTGGTCTATAGTTGCCCGGGTTCTGTTATAAAACAAATGTTAAGAGGCACAGCAGTTTCCATATAAAGACTGTTTATGTGGACCAGGGGTTACATCAAGGTGTTAAAAAATGCTAAGATGTAATTGCCAGTTGTGCTTATAGCACATTTTCTCTCCCTTCACACAATGGCCCCCTCAGAGCCGAAGTGATGCTGCTGGCCTCCCATTAAAATGTTTCTAGCCCAGGCGTATGCAAGGCAGACACCTGCAATTCCATGTGCATCTTCTTCAAGCATAATGCCATTTGTGAAGGCTTCCAGAGTAGATGCTGCTTGTAGTAAAGAAGTCTTCTTAGGCACTATGTGCACAGAGACCTGTCTCCAAATGGACTGCATCTGGACAATTTTGCTTGAAGGAGAAAAGAGTATTGCTTATTAGTAAATGGAGTTCTTCAAGATGTTTTGCACATGAGTGTTCTGTATCCCCCTCTTATTCAGTCCTTAGCATATTGGGATTATGTGGTTGAGAGGAAATTGTACACTGGGAACCACCCTTTTTGCCATTGGTGTAGACCATGTGGAGAGGCAGGACATGTGCCTGCTACAAAAAGGGGCAAAAGTCTCTGAATCTAAGTGCTTGAGGTGTGCATAGCCTTACAATGAATGTGCACATGAATAACATAACTCAAAGAACTCCATTTAGTTACCAGTAACTCCTCCACGTGTTTGCAGGATCAGGCCCTAATTGATCATCTGTGGGTGTAGTGATAAGGAGAAGTACTAAATTGTAAGGTGTGTCAGTGCCAACTTGCAGCTCTTATGAGTTTGGGTTGCTTTGGATCAAACCAAATTGTATATGGATTTCTGGGCTACTGTACAATATTGATACATTAATGTGAATTTATCTTTTTTTTGTAGAGGTTGGTGTTATTGCCAAGACCTACATTGATCGAGGGCAGCTTATTCCAGATGACATCATGACACAGCTGGTGCTGAGAGAGCTGAAAACCTTGGAGCAGTACAGCTGGTTGCTGGATGGTAAGTTAGAGGGTAAACCTGTGCCAGAAATAGAATAACAGAATTATATAAAATTAGGGTTGGGAGGGACCTCAGAAGGTCATCTAGTCCAACTCCCTGCTCAAAGCAGGATCATCCACAACTAGATCATCCCAGCCAAGGCTTTATCTAGCTGGGTCTTAAAAACCTCCAAGGATGGAGATTTCACCACCTTTCTGAGTGACCTGTTCCAGTTCTTTACTACCCTCCTAGTAAGAAAGTTATTTCTGATATCTAACCTAAAGTTCCCTTGGTGCAACTTGAGACAATTGCTCCTTGTTCTGTCATCTGCCACTACTAAGAACAGTCTAACTCCATCCTCTTTCAAACCCCTCTTCAGGTAGTTAAAGCTTGCTATTAAATCCCCTCAGTCTTCTATTCTGTAGGCTAAATAACCCCCGTTTTCTCACTCTCCTCATGAGTTGTATGCCCCAGCCCCACTTTCATTGCCCTCCACTGGACTTTCTCCAATTTGTCTACATCTTTTCTGTAGTGGGGGCCCCAAAATTGGACAAGTACTCCAGCTGTGGCCTCACCAGTGCTGAATAGAAGGGAAGAAAACAGGAAATACAGGAAATCTGCTTGAAAGGGATGAGGTCGTGAATTTTGTGACAATTAGTGGGCACTAAGTAATTACACTAGGGTTATAGGGGTCAGATGTTTGACAGAAAATGCTATATACAACTTCAACTCTTCCCACTGTGCATATGCATTACAATATTTTATAATCATGTGATCACATATTGCCTTGTATTTTTGCTTTTCCTGCTGGATCCCTCCCTTGATCAATGAATGGGTTTATCCTTATGAAATGGGAATAAGGAAACCTAATTGATTAGATGAACTCTGCATCTAATTTCTGGACACATTCTGTGCATGATTGCAACTGCACGTATCGGAGCATCCAGTGAAATAGCTGAAAACATGCTGGGCCCTCACTGGACAGAAGGATGGTATGCAATGAATGAGGCAGTGGATCTATATTTTTGCTTCAAGCTGTCCCCCCCCTCTACCTAGATAAATAAGATCTTTGGGGCAGGGCTTTTAGGCTGGTCACCCTGGCTGAGTTCAGTAGGGATTCACTAAGCATGTAAGTGCTGAACATGCTTATCATACTCTATAAATAATAGTCTGAGAAACCCCAATTCTGTAACTAGTTCATCATGCTGATGGAGCAAAGTATAACTTTCCACTGGCTGAAAATAGTTTACTGGCCTTACTGAACCACTACAGCTCTAGCTTCCATAGTGGAGGGGGAGAGAAATGATCTTCTTGGAGCACAATTTCTTTTTGCACAGGTGTGGTACTCTGATTAAAAAAAAAACAACATATGCTGAGGTAAAGAAACATGTGCAGACTCTGGAAGTGAATGGAAAAGTACTGCATACAACAGCAGATACTGTTTTCAATAATACGTTGTTGCATACTTTCCACTTATATCAAAGTTCTTTAGTAGTGATGTTCAAATAGCACCTCATTTTTCCAGTTAAATATATGGAAGCACAAGTTGGTTGCGTATTCGACCCAAAGACACGAAGTGAGTCAATAGCAGAGCTGAGAGCCCTGGTTCTTGCTCCATTTAGACAACTTCTTTGGGATTTGTCATTCCCTTTCTGGCAGTCAACAACTGTTATTTAAACCAGCCTCTAGGATTGTAACATATGCATTGTGCATGCATGCTGACACTCTTAAGTGAATCAGCTTTTCCCTTTGTGGACATGTGATTAAAATAACATAATAGATGTAAGGCCTCCCCAAGTCTTTTTTACCAGTGTGCTTTGCTGTAAGGGTCATTTGGCTAATGAATTCCCCTTATTCTGGTGGTAGGGTGGTCATTGATCATTACCACTTCAGAAGGTAAGCAAAAAAGAGCTTTCTTTAGTTTTTGCCTACAGGGCTTGTCTTTACAGTGAGATTTGCTGGCATAGCTATAATGGAATAACAGATTATTCCAAACGAATTGTCTGTTTGTGAGCAGAAATTATTCTAACATATCTGTCGAGGGAAGAGTTCAATAGCTATTCTGATTTGGTTTTCCCATGTAGCTAAACTGTTAGAAGCAGATGCTGAACTTGCTGTGAGAATAGCTTGGCTCATTTGCTCTCTTTTTCCTTTCAAAGTGCACCAGACTTACTCAGTTACTTAGAACTAGTTTATTAGTTTAGAAATCAAAGTTATTTGCCTAGGTTCACAAATATGGTTGAGAGCATAAAAATCAGCATGTTTTTAGTTTGATGTTTTGGGTGTGACAACACAGGCCTTATACAGGCTAAGTGTTTTTATTGACATTGTCAAATCAAATTTGAGATGCAGGACATTTTTAAGGTAATGCCTATAATTTTCTTTAAGGTGAATTCATTCTTTGAATGTCTTCAGTAACTTTTGAGATGCCCAAGAGTGAATATACCCATTATGGCTTCTGAGTTACCTACTTGCACTATCTTGCTTTTGCAGTACCCTGGCAGTAAATCAGTTTTATAACAAATGTTTTTAGGCACAAGCTGGTAAGATATATATCCTTTTCATATATATGAAAAAGGAAATGATGGCATTTCAGGACCTTCACTCTGCTTTGGGAATAATTAACAAGTGAGACCAGGAAAATGGAAGGGAGGGGAATGGCACTGGCTAGGGGAAAACCTGGTCTTCTGTCCCACATAGCATATTATACCTATCACTTATGTGGTTTACATTTTAGATTGGCTGGCATTTTCTCTTGAATCCAGTCTACTCACATTTTGTAATTTAAGTCTGCCTTTGGATTTTTACTGGCTTGCTTATTTATTTATATATTTATTTATATATTTATTTAATCAGGCTTTCCTAGAACGGTCCCACAGGCAGCAGCTCTGGATAAGACATGTCAGATAGACACTGTGATTGATCTAGATGTTCCATTTGAGACGATTAAACAACGACTCACTGCACGATGGATCCATCCTACTAGCGGTAGAGTCTACAACCTCGAATTCAATCCTCCTGAAATCCATGTAAGTGATGCAGGTCTTTTTTGTTGCAGTAGATAAACTGCACTGTGTTTCTGCTTGGGATAAGTAAGTCATCTTCTTTTGCAAGACCACAGAACCTTTCTGCTAACAGTTCCTCTCCACTAGGATAACATATCTGTGTTAGTGAAAGTACTCAAGTCATTCCCACCTCTCTGTGATTAGAACCAGCAATGTTCTGCAGAAGATATCCCCCTCATCTGTGAGGGAGAGGGAGGGAGTAAACTGCACCAATCTCTTATAGATCCTCGCAGCTATTTAATAAAATATTGCTATCAGACTTTGGAAGATTTCAGCATCCTAGAATTGACCTGATACATGACAATGTAACTAATCTGTTCTACAAATGGCAGCTCCTACACTTTGTAAAATCTAAAAAGGAAATCGCAGAAAATGGAAGTGTTGTTAAAAACAAAAATAACTACCATAATCTCGGACCTTCCTATCTTGGCTGGTCCCATAGTTTCTCTCTGAGGTCTATTCTGCCCACACTATGAAACCTTTCTTTTCCAAGGGACCCTTCTTATTTAGGTGAATCAGTGAGTTAATAGATGCAGGGAGTCAGAGCAGCACACTTGGCCCTTTTTCTGAAATATTAACACTTAAAAGGGTGTGGGTGTTTAAAACACATACTAATATTCTGCAGCACACCGTTTCTGTAATTAGATGTTATTTTCTCTCACGTTGGCATAATTAACATCTCAGGTTCACAGTTGTGCTGTGGGGATTAAAAAGGTAGATCTGAACTAATGAAGCACTCTGCAAGCTGTACATTTTCCTTTCCCAGCTATTTGTTGAGAACTTTAATGAATTTGCACAAGTAAAAGCAACAAAGCCTGGGCTGTGTTTCATCCTCATCCCTCTCCTAACTTTATCTTGAGTTATTTTTTACGGGGAGAAGTGTAGTTATAGGAGAATCAGAAGCAGGCTTTTTTCACTTACTGATGCTGTTGGAGGGGGGGGGGGGTTTGTTTGCTTGAAAGGGTTTCACTCTCAATAAACTTTAGGATTTCAGTCTTTCAGAGGAAAAGACCTAGTTGAGAGAACCAAACCCCTCCCTCCTCACATTAGTATACTGAAATTGAATGAAAACATTGGTAGTGTGAAGAAACTCTGCCTCTTTGTGGTTAAACATTTGGTACTTCACTCATGACTACTTGCAGGGAGTCTGGCTGATCTAAGAGTGGAACACAACAGAGCACTGACTTTGATCTGTCAAACTCATTTTGGAACCCATTCTTTTGCATAATTAAGTAGAAATTCACCATACCTGAAACTAATTTGCCCTGATTTGCAAGTTTTGAACACTTGTATAAGACTCTTGTGGATTTATGTGATGCAACAGTTTTGGCTCTGTAGGTTTTACAAATAAGTTTTAAACTGCTTACCTTCAAGCAAAATTATAGAGCCAGGTCAGTTGACCTGAAAATGAGTGATTGAATACATAATGCATATTACAAAATCCAAGCTTTGCAGTAATGCCAATAACAGAGAAGCTATGTTTAGATATCACTGCATTACCTTAAAGATTCTTATACCCAAAATTAATTTCAGCTCACATTGCTTAATGCCTTTTTTTTAAATGAAGTTTATGTCAAATGGAATTTTTTCACATCTTCATAAATATGGAAACATATGGAATCCTTTCCACAAGGGCACTTCTGTCCTTTAATTTGTACACAGATGACTTCAATAAATTGTGTGTGTAAGCAAGGACAAAATTTGGCCCTGCAAACATAGCTGGATTAAGTTGTAATGATTCCCACTTTGGCTAGCAGAAACTCTTTCCTTAGGCCCTTGTTTCAAATACCTGGCATTCTATATTGAAGCTTGAAGTGCCTCTGATAAATCGAAAATGTAGTTTTAAGAGAAAACATTGCTGTAGTTGCCATGTGAAGGCTCAAGCTTTGTTTGCTCTTTTTAGATGCTGATCTGTGGCTTTCATGCTGTCTGCTGTACAGTAATTGTAAGTTCTCTTCCACAGCAACAAAATGACTATTCAGCTCATCACCTTAATTTTTCTAGAGGCCATAGATCATATCAGCCTTTTATGAGTTGCATGTGGCCTTGTTGAAACATTCCAGACATCCACTCTCCATACATGGAGTTTCACAATGAATAAAATCCAAGGAGTAATAGTTATAACTTCATTGGGCATGTCCCTGTGAGCAGGAACTTTAATTTCCCTGGGGATAAACAGCAGTGGCACGATATGTGCTGCTGCTATTTGTCCCCTGAGAACATCCATGAATGCACGCTCTGCTGTGTGGCACGTTGCCCCAGATGGGGTAGGGGAGACTGGGGCCCAGGGCTGGTATCTGGAGTGTGGCTCCAGAAGCCTTACTGGGGGCCTTTGCGGGCTGCAGTGAGCCTGGCTGACACCTGGAGTATGGCTCCAGCCAGGCAGGCTCTGGTTTCATAACTCAATGGACATGCCCACTGAGTTATGCTCCATGCACTTAATGTCTGAGACTGTGAAGAGGTATGCTTTTAAATTGCTGAACTGTACTGCTTGAAAGTACATTTCATTGCTACTGATAAGATATGGTTGGTGATCTCACTAAGTTGAAAACTAATTTTTGTTGGACTAAAAACAAAATTATACAAAGGCTACTTAAATAGAGTTATAAACTGGTGTTTGTTTTAACCCACAATTAGGGCATTGATGATATTACTGGAGAGCCACTTGTACAGCGCGAAGATGATAAGCCAGAGACCGTTACCAAAAGACTGCAGTCTTACGAGGCACAAACAAAGCCGGTTCTGGATTATTATCGGTAAGGAATAAATAATTGAAACATTTATTTCCACATTAAAATGGCAAGGAATAACTTGTGTTTCTCTCAAATTGCAGAGATCCCACTGTGAGGAATATAGTATGGGTACCTCAGTAGCAAATGGAGTCTTTCATCTACCTGCCAAACTAAATATTAGTTAAATCTGTAATGGTATATGCTGTCATTATGGGTGCATCCCTACTACTAGATGAACAAGAAGTATGTTTCTTTTGTGTAGCATTCTTTACTGCAGTCAACAGGAAGTTTTATCACTTTAGAATCAGAATACTCAACATATTAAAGCAATGGCAGTTCCCACAGCTATAGAGCTTTTTCATTAGTCATTTCTTCCAGAAACTTTAATTGTATCAACTGTCTTCCACGGGATCTGGTAGCAGAAAGTTCTGTCAGAGGATTAGAGGCCAATGTCTGGAAGTGATGTAAGAGCAAGCAGAACAATTCTGTAACGAACACCAGGATTTGATATTTGGAGGAAAACAGCACAGTAATGTGTTCGTATAGCTGGTACTTTTTAAGAAAATAGTCTGCTATACTGTAGAGGGCATAATGGAGAGAGTAGTAATCAAGGCTTGGAAAAGCTATTCTTCGATTCCAAGTCTGTTCCCTTAGGCTGAGGTGGTCTGGCAGGTAGACAAGCTTCTAAATAATGTTAGCGTGGTGATGGATTACCAGGTCAGTTTAGGGACACTTACCCATTACTAAATTGGTATTTTGTCACATTAGAACTATGGCCAGAAACATTCCCAGTTTATGGATGTAGGACATCATACAGAAATACTGTTACAGTCATTCCCTGCATGCTTTGTATAAGGGGGAGAGAGTCTTCCAAGGTGAGTGGGGTTGAAGAGAAGGCGATTTGTGTCAGCAGTGACTTTTACTAACTTCAGTAAATCACTCTGTAGGCCCAGGCCATCTGTCTCTTCAGATCTCATTGCAGAATGTGTAGCTATACTGTCATGATGAAATATACTCTAGATATAAATGTGGCTATCAAACTTTTGACAGCTCATCTACTTCAAGTTGGTGCTTTTTTTTTTTTCCACTTGTGCATGCAAATGTGTATCTGATCCTTCATGCGTAATAACTTGTACTGTTTGACTATATGTAATAATAAAGGAGGATTTTAGATTAATGTTGCGCTCGTGGAACAATGGTCTTAATATATTACCTGCCTTCTTTAGAGTCATCTCTTCCTTCATTCCTTTCTTTAATCTATATCCTTCCTGGTCCAGTAATACCTTCCCTCAGTGTTTTTTGACCTGTAGAGAAGACTGGACCAAAATGGCTACTATGAGCATTCTCTTTGTACCACTCAGACAAAACATACTTAATTCCTGTAGCTGTAAGGTTTTAAAAAGGTTTTCTTGCAGCCAAACCCTTCTGCATACTGAGAAGACATTGGTACTACTACACCTCTACCAGGGCAACCTTTGAAGTTATCTTTGTACTCTGAGGTAGCAATGTTAAACATCATCGACAGATGATAGACTTATTTCTTCTTCTCTGTAGGAAAAAAGGTGTGTTGGAATCTTTCTCTGGAACAGAAACCAACAAAATCTGGCCACATGTCCATGCTTTTCTCCAAACCAAGTTGCCAGATGTGAGCCAGAATGAAGCTGCCTCGCAGAGATGAAGTTGGTCTAATCTTTTGATGATGAGAAGATAGCTGCTGTCACACACATTTCAGGAGTGATTCCCTCTACAGTAGTAAAAGTTTACAAAGATGATGTTTTCTCATTTCTGCTAAGTGATGTTCCAAATTGATCAATAAGTAAGATCTAATCTATCATTCTCACTTTTGTGTAATAATACTTTTTTGCACTTACCTTTGTATTCTTATTTTAATGATGTACTTTTATATCAAATGTACCTAATTTTTGTAAAATAGTAATCATAATTTAAAGAAAAACAACGGAATTCTCATGTCTTTGTATAAAATATAGTTATTAAGAGTAGATATGTTCAAGTGACACTTGCTGTCATAGGAATCAACCATTGCGGTCTACCAAGAAACTTTCAGCAAATATAAGAGAACAGTTTTATATACTGTAGTTGTTGGCTTCTATTCAAGAAGTGGCTGAGATTATCAAATAATTGAATGCCCCTCCTCTGAACTGGATCAATACAGGATGCAAGTCACTTATTGACATCTCCAAATATTAGAAGGTGCTGCTACTGATACAGTATTGCACTCTTCTGCCTCCTTAGCCTAACTTTTGTAGTTAATGGGAGGAAATAAGAAGTTTATGATAATGGGTAAGGAGTCTATACCTCAGTTGCCTGTACAGACACAGTATTCATAATCACTCTGGCCTATATTGCCAACAGTCCATTTAGAAAGCAACACAACTCATTCTCTCTTAGCATCTTACAATTAAGAGGGGAAAAAACCTTGATAGCTGTATTACTTAAAGATGGGGTTTAGGAACTACATTGGACAGCAAGTCAGACAATTTTATTAGTCATGAATTTGTAAATCAAGAAAGCAGAAGACCAAGACCAATGGAACCTTGGCTTCATTCACAGCTTACAGTAATTAGAGAGTTCCCCTGGAAGGCTTTAGCTCCCTCCTTGTCAAATGGACAAGTGCAAGAGAGTTCCTACAAGAGTGAATTGCAAGGACAGACAAGTTCAATACTATAGCTATAAACTGTTAAAGTAGTTGAGGGTTAGGGTGCGGGGATGAGGAATACAAATGCAGAATTAATTTCTTGGAGGGGAGGATTTGAACTTGTACAACTATAAGCAAAGGGATCCAATTGACAATATGCATCTTGAGAAGTATGACTAAAATCTGAGCCTCCTCTTCCATAAAATAGCTTCCTATGCCACATAATAAAGTCCTGCTAGTCAGGACAGTAATTAAGCATAGCACTAAGAATTCGACAAGAAAAAGGACTCATCTTCCTTCTTTTTCTTAAATTCATAAAAAGCAAATTTGGGGAAGCCCCCCCACAAATCTTGACACTGATGCTAGGTACAGACATTCAAAAAGCCTGAGGTGGAATCAGTCTAAGTTATATGGTTTCCTGTAAGCAGCATCAATACTGAACAGAACACTTATTCACTGTGGTGGGGGGCAAATCAGACCTGGTTCTGCCATTTTAAACTGGTCCATGTTACGCCAAACTTCTGTTCTGTTACAGGTATACACTGGTTTCCAATCACTTACACTGGTAAAAGTGTGATGTCTGTACTTGGCCTAAGCATCCAAGCAGTAAGTTTGAAGATGTTAAAATTGTCACACAATAAAATTGTGTTTTGTTACAGCAAATGATATCCTGTGTCAGAGTTGTGAGGGAACGGAAAAGTCTTGACAAACGCGTTTTCTAAACTGGCCTAGTTAAAGTAGCTGTTTTTAATGTAAAGTATTTTGGGTAAAATTTTATTTATGCATGTTTGACATTACAAAACTGCCCTTTCTGACATCAGTTTCATTCTACTAGGTTATAACATTATCAGAATGCCAAGGACCTAAAACAAGAGCCACAGCAAGCAAGCTACACAGTTGGTGCAGAAGAATGTAACTTTAATCCCCACCATTACTACTGAGTTTACAGATCAGTCATACCCAAGAATAGTTGGCAGAGAAATGTGCATTATACAATTTGCCATTTTTGTTAACCAGAATCAGTCTTATTCTCATATCAGACTAGACTGATAGAAATGGTCAACAGCTCAAATTCCAGAGCAATCCAGATATTCTAACCACTGCTACTCTTCTCAAAGAACATACCTGACCATGTTTTCAGCATCTCAAGATCCTGAATTCATCTCTCTCCCTCACTCTTTGAAGTAGTCAGTAAAAGCTGGCACAGGCATCAATTCAACAGTCAATCCAGATGGTTCAGATCTATGGATGGAGTAGTTGGCTGGAGACCATTCTGTGACTGAGGTCTTTGCTCTTCTCTCTTGCAGCAACTACAAGCAAGTCGTTCCTGCTCCTGCATCCCCAGGAGCTGTAGCTCCATATATCACATAGCAGGATTTGCTTTCACCACCTTTCAGTCCTGGCACATATTCTAAATTGTCCACTGTAGAATTTGGAAAGCTTTCCACTTCTTGTCAAGGTAAGGCTACTGAGAGTAGCTACTGTTTAAAACCGGTGGCCCATGAGGGGTTAATGTGGCCCACAGTTTCCTACCCAACTAGTTTCCCCCAACGCACTGTACCAGTGACTGTGATCTCTAGTTCCCCCCCACTCCCTTCCCAGCTTCTGCTTCCTTCCTCTGCACCTGGGTAATGCAGCAGGAGATTGCAGTTAGAGCAACATAAGGCTCTCAGCAGGGGACAGGGCCAGGCTGCTCATACAAGGCATGCAGCAGTAGAGGGATCTGGACTGACCTCCCACAATGTAGCAGGGGGATAGCGGCTCAGGGTGAGCAGCCTACACAAAGCATGGCCCCCCCAGTCTGTGGCCTATGTGACCCTGGGCTGCCAAGACATTGTACACCTGTGGTCTAAATTAAGTTTCTAAAAAAGGACCTTGACAAAAAACAGTGTGTAGACTTGTATCCAAACATGCACCATATGGAATCTAGAGTTGGACTGTTTAAATAGAGATCAGCTTCCTTCATGCAGTTGTTGGAACATTCCTACATAAAACCTTGATTTGTCCAGTGCTTCACTTTGACCTCAGCATTTCTGGCAGTTGTCAGAAAAGTTTATAGATCTCACACAGCTTTTACTGCCAGAAGCTGTAGTTGACCACCAACTGCTAGTGCTTTCAACTAATCCTTGACTTCTTTCCACAAAGGCAGTGATTCTCAACCTTTTTGGATTCAAGGCACCCCTCCATAATTTTTGTGAATTGAATGGCACCCAATTTAAAAAAAACTAGTGTATATATTAGTGCTTACTCCCTTGCAGAGAGGCTAGGCAGTAGGGATGGAGAATTGTCCAGGCAGGTGCAAGCCTGAGCCTGTGCTTATCTTATCACAACACCTTTCAAAGGATCTGATGGCGCTGTGTTTGAGAATCACTATGCTAAAGTGATCACAGGTGTTCTAAACTGGTGTCCTGGAGACTTGAAACCAGGCTGTGAAGTTACATTTTGTATCTTGGCAATATCACTGCTGAACATCAAAGAATGGCTTGTAGCAGTAGTGCTCTCTATCTAGGGCAACTAGATTGGAGGATTGTGGACTTAACTGCATGACAGGTGGGTAAGAAGCTGGCTATGGGGTAGGACCCAGAGAGTTCTAATGAATGGATCGGTGTTGTCCTGGCAAGAAGTGGTCAGGGATCGGTGCTTGGACCAGTTCTTTATAATATCTTTATCAATGATGGACCTAGACAGGCTAGCAAGTTGCGTGGATCAGAACCAGATGAAGTTCAATGCTGAGAAACGTTAAGCGCTTCACCTGGGGACGAACAATCCCCAACACACCTACAGGCTTGGCAGTGCCAAACTGACTAGCACCATGACTGAAAGGGACCTAGGGGTAATAATAGACCACAGTATGAATATGAGCCATCAGTGCAACGCTGTAGCCAGCAGGGCAAATAATACTCTGGCATGCAATCAGTGCATTTCAAGCAAAACCAAGGAAGTGATTCTTCCACTTTACTCAGAATTGGTGAGACCACAGCTAGAGTACTGCATCTGGTTCTGAGTGCCGCACTTCAACAAGGACGTGGTAAAGTTTGAGAAAAATCCAGAAAAGAAGCACCCGTATAATCAGAGACTTACACGGCCAGCCATACGAGGAAAGGCTGAGGGACCTGGGACGTTTCAGCCTAAAAAAGAGAAGGCTGAGAAGGGACTTGGTAGCACCTTACCACTACATCAGGGGAATACATCAGGGGCTCGACTAACAACTGTTAACCATGGCACCCTTGTGGAAAACTAGGAGTAATGACCACAGAGACTCTTGGAAGACCGTTTCAGGCTTAACATTAGGAAAAACTTCTTCACAGCTAGGGTGTCCAGACTGTGGAATAGCCTCCCTCCAGAGGTGGTGCAATCATCTACCCTAGAAATCTTCAAGAGGAGACTGGCCAGTCACCTTGCTGGGGTCACTTGACCCCAGTTGTCTTTCCTGCCTAGTGCAGTGGGGCTGGACCTGATGATCTTGCAAGGTCCCTTCCAGCCCTTAACAATCTATGAACAGGAGGGCTACTTTGTCCTCTGGCATGTCACAATGCTCTAGTCCCTGCACCCCCCATAAGGAAGGGCAAGAGTAGGGCAGACAGCCAGTGAACGCTCTCCTGTGCATTAGGATGTCCTCAGTAGACCCCTTAGCCCAAGGGGCGTGCAAGCAAGCCTTCTCTCCAGTCAGGGGCCTGGAGAGGATTCCTTGTATGGCTCTAGGAGGCTAGTGAAGACTGCCAAGTGCATAAGAGTGCTCAATGGCTGCCTGCCCTGCTCTCCCCATCCAGATTTGGAGGTGGGGAGGGGTTGCCAGAGAATCTAGCACCCCCCACCCCTGCTTTAGGGGGCATGCCAATGTTTTAGGGAGCACTTCAAAAGGAAAAGCTCATTTTATGAGTAAAATTCATTTTTTGAATTGCTTCTTCAGCCATGCATATCAGTTTGCTTAGTGTTCCAAGCATTTCACATCTGTCCTGTCCAGGGCCTAACCTGTAATTTCCCTACCATAATGCTGCTTTAGTATTGAAAGAAAAACTCATTCTCTTTCATGATCAAATAAGGTTACCCCTACCAGAATGCACCAGATGTGAAGGGGAGAAGGGCTAAAACTCCCTGATTCTTGGGCCAGTTTTGAACCAGTACTGGCAGCTATGTATTTTACAGACCGGGAATTACTCTAAAGAACTTTACTGCATGTACTTGCTGAACAAGACTGGCTACAGAAATTCTTCTAACTTGTTCCCTGCACCAGTGGCTACATGGCAATTATACAGGAATGCGTTTTGCCTGCTCCACACTATTTAGGATATTCCTCAGGCCGATTTCCAAATTCTTTGTACCACCTGAGAATGAAGGGGTTAAGGAAGCAGTACCTGCTGAAGTGTGCACATAAATTAGCCATTTCACTGTAAAACAGTGATGCAACAGGCGCTAGGTGACTCCCTGTTACTATGAGAAATCAGGGAGAGCTAAACCACACCGGAACAGCCCAGATGTAAAAGATAACATTTTCAATACAGCTGCTTCTACCTGTAAAGGTAAGTTGGAAAAGCTTAGTAACAGCACTAGGTTGCAAAGACAAAGGCATCGTTAGGAATATAGTTCTGGAAATAGTAAAAGTTTGACCTGTGCAGAACCCTAAAAGGGATCTGGAAATTTCCCTCTCACCCTTCTTAGACCTCTTCAGTTGACCACTAGAAATTTCACAGCTGTTACTAAATTAAAACTCACTTCCCCCCCTGAGTTTAGTAAAGTAATAGACCCATAAGCTGCCAAAATCAACCGTCTTCAGTCAGTGTTTGGCACCTGAGTTTCTTCATTCCTGGGAGAAAGCTAGGAGTTAGGCGCTGGTGGATCTCACCAATGTTCCTTCTAAGGAGCAGCGGTCTGTGAGCATGCCACCTCGGTCCGGTGTGGGACACTTTCCAAAGGGGGCTGGAGGCCGGAGGCTGGGGCTCCGGAACCCAGGAGGCCAGGGGCTGAGGCCGGGGGTCGGACGCAGGCTCCCTGGCTCCGGTGAAGTGCTCCACTCCCTCACATCAGGGCTGGGGAGTGGAGCACTTCCCCAGAGCTGGTGGAGCCTGCACTAGCCCCTCGCCCCAGCCTCCATCCCTGCCTTGCCTCACCTTGGGGAGGAGCCGCTGCCTGCCCCAGTGAGGCTCGGGCAGGCCCGGGATACTGCTCTGCTCCCCGGCCCTGATGCCACGTGGGCTCCGGTGAAGTGCTCCACTCCCTCACATCAGGGCTGGGGAGTGGAGCACTTCCCCAGAGCTGGTGGAGCCTGCACTAGCCCCTCGCCCCAGCCTCCATCCCTGCCTTGCCTCACCTTGGGGAGGAGCCGCTGCCTGCCCCAGTGAGGCTCGGGCAGGCCCGGGATACTGCTCTGCTCCCCGGCCCTGATGCCACGTGCCTCCTCGCTAGAGAAGCTGCTTCCTGCCCTGAGTGCAGCTCCACCGGCTCCTGGACACTGTGGGACATGCCCCCTGAGGCCATGTTGGGGAGCAGAGCAGTGTCCCAGAGCTGGTGGAGCCAGCCATGCGGGGGAACTGTGCAGTGTCCTGGAGCCGGCAGAGCCTCACTGGGGCAGGCAGCGGCTCCTCCCCAAGGTGAGGCAAGGCAGGGATGGAGGCCAGCACGGGCTCTGCCAGCTCTGGGGAAGTGTTCCACTAGACAGGCTGGGGCAGGGGGCTGGCGTGGGTTCCACCGGTTCCGGGGAACGGAGCACTTGCTCGGAGCCAGGGGAGTCCGTGCCTGGCTCCCGCCCCAGCCTCTCCTGGTGTGCGGCCTTGAAAAGGCTGTGCGCAGCCACACTTTTAGTTGTGTGCGGTCGCGCATGCACACACCTTGGAGGGAACCTTGGATCTCACCCTAATCAAAATACCTTAAGTTTCTCTCTATTCACTCCATCATTAAAAACCTCAATTTTTAAAAAAATTAACAGCACATGTAAGAGAGAGTCCACTTCTCAGTAATTCTACCACTGGAAATGCCAGTCCAGGCTCAATTCTAAGTAGTGAATTAGATTTGTGTTAGGCTACTTATGCTTTAGAGACAATCAGAAATAAGTTATTTTGACTGAAAGCAAGAGGTAAAATGTTATTCACTGTAGAAATAAAAAGTCAATATTTTAATCTCAGCCACCCAGATCTGTGCTGTGGATACCAGATATTGATTTATTGCTATTAATATAATAAAACCAGGTTTGAGAGCTTACTATGTCAGCAGTATAGCATAAGTACAACTGTGATCTCTAGTATTCATAGAGTGAGACATGGCCCTGTCTATAATAAAAGACTATAGCAGATTCCACCAAGAATCAACCACTTCTTGTAAACATTGGATTTGTGCAGATTTGTTTGTCATACTTTGATTCCTAAAATTAAGGATAAAGGCAAGTTTAGTAGCAGAAAAAACATCCAGTTTCACATTCGGCAATATACAAGGAACCCTTCTTTTTAAAAGACAACCGAAAACCTAGCAGCACGTTTTCAAACAAAATTACATGTCTTTCTAGATTACCCTCCCTCCAAAAAACAAATGCCAAAAATAAAGTGCAGCACCCATAAAAATAAGTATCAAGAAAATAGCCATGTTCTTTCTTTTATAATAAAAAGAGTACTTGGCCTCAGTCTTAACAATACTATACTGTGTCCATCATTTTGGATTCTTCATCATCTTTCTGTACCACTGAGTTTAAACTGCAGAGACCTGTGTTTATGCAACCTTGTAGAGTGCCTGCATTCTGCAACAGATAAAGAAAATAAACATTGAGAAAATATTTCTAAACAAGTATACATTTTGAGATCCTAATTCTGCACCTTTGACAACTGTTTAATTCCTTTTCATTGTTTGCATTTTGCAATTAAGAGACAAAGTTTTAATGGTGATACAAAAATGTGTGCATAACTAGTACAAACGGTAAGAAAACAGCTTAAAATGCACCACCCAGTTTTTAAATTCAAGAAGTCACATAACTTTTATATAAAGCTTGTATTTAGTTACGGAGGCTAGGAACTGCAATAAAAATATCTGTGTACTAAGTTACCTTGCACTCAGAAAGCAAATATAGTAAATTAAGTACCTTGATCAAAATTATTTCAAACCCAAGATTTAATTTGACCTGTTCCTCTGACACAACTTAAAAAAAAGTAACCATTTCCCACCCTCCCATTTAAACCATACTTTGTAAGCCTGAGACAGAGGTTGTCTGTACTGAAGTCCCTGTATTTCATTAGGGCAGCAGTCAGCAAGTTTAAGGGTGTGACCTAGAGAGAATGTGCTCAGGTCAAAGGAGAACAGATAGCATGGCGAGAAGTGACTCCTGCTGGAGATCCCTGCTGCTGAGGCCCCACATCCACAGGCTGGATCAAATAGCTCTGTGGGCCAGATTGCTGACCCCTGCATTAGGATACTGTGCTGTCCTTTTACTAGACTCAACTATCTTTTTGAGTGTAGGCTTCTACTGATGAAGCCATAGACTTTTTTTTTTTTTTTTTTTTTTTTAAACACCTGGGAGCTCATTTCACCTCTCCTAATGCAGAATTCCAAAATTACATATTTACACACAACAACAAAAAGAACCATGTGAGAGGGTAGTATGATTAGTTACATAATGCAACTTCTCCAGCTATTTGAAGTGGAAAATTACTCATAAAGTAGATTGAAGACACAGATTTAGTTGGATAGGATTGAATTACTAGGTAGTGAATTAATTTGACCTTGTGCTTTGTTGCTATTTGAAGTTTACAAGATGGAGTGTTTTTGAGCAACAGCTTGCCTTAAATATAAATAAGAGTGCGCACGCTTTGTTATTCCCAGCAAATGGTGCCTTATTTCTTTATTTTATTCCCCCTATAAAAGGCTGGGATAGTTTACAATAAGAAAACCCAAGATAAATTATAAAAAGATAAAATATTAAAATAAATATGTAATAAATAAACTCCCCAGATAGTGCCCCAAAATTAACAACTGCTAAAAGCCTGTTCCAAGCAAAGGCCTTACAATGCTTCTTTACTTCATGCAGTCCTTTTTAAAATCAAAGGTACTACTTCACATAAAAGGAGGCAGAATCTCGTCACAGCAAAATTTATTTAATAAAAACCTACCTGTGGCAAAGACTCTAACCCTCCCACAGAACCAAGACCAGCATAGACACTGGGATTCTGTACCGACATAGCTTGAAAACTGTGCGACTGGGAACAGATTCTTACTCTTGATTTGAACGCTTCGAGTTCATTTTTAAAAGCTTCGATATAGCCTTCTTCTCCTGCCTGGAAAAGAAAAGGTTGTATATTATTAAATATTCCCTCAGTTTCATAGCCAACATTTTACTTGAGCCGAAAATTTTACTAGGCATGCATTGTAAAAGAAAAATGTTATGTAACAAAGGACAGATGAGTAAAGTATTTCATGTAACATCCTCTTCAGATGAAAATGTTTGGGACAAAACTAATATCGCCTTTGTCATACATTAGCTACAAAGAATTCAGATGGATTTATATATTCATAACAGTTTAAATATTTTGGTCTGAGACAGGAAGACTGTTTGTTACAGGGAGCTATATGACAACCTGATTTTGTCACCCTTCTCTCCCCTACCCTATCCCAACTGCCCTGCATCACTGAAAATGATACTGACCACACGGTACATGCAGTTCTCTCAGAATAGTATTTCCCTGACCATAGGCTAACCACTATGGAAAGATCCAGTTATCTTCACTCTTCATCCAGGGCTTCCCTGCTACTTGCGAATATAGCTATCCAGGCCCTGACAATGCTGCACCTGGTTGACTTCAAAGGATTACTGAGGAGAGAGAAACAGTGTGCTTTCCTCAAGATGTTGAGCAGCCTTTCTGGCACATCAAGAGCCCAGTAGCTTGAGACATTAATCTAGTCATTAAATTATCTCCTTTCCTTCGTAGACAGTACAATAGGAAGATTGCCTGTCAAATCTCTCTCTCTTCCTGTAGAATCAATACTTTCTACTGGAAAAAAAGGAATTATATGGAGCTCTTTTCTTTCAGTAAGTAGAAGTGGGAGATAACTTTAATTCTTTTATATACAAATAATATGGGATGAAAATTAATCATAGGATTATATAACAGTAAATATACATTTGCTATATATTCTGTTCCCTCTGCTGGACAGTCCAAAGTGCATAAGAAAATCCATTGGGCCTCAGTTCCCAAGTCTAGAATTACACAGACTACTGTCAACAACCCACCTTTGCCCTTAGCCTGCAGTCAATAACCTAGTCACATATTTAGCTTCTGGTTGTTAAGGAAAAAATCTCAGCTATTTTCGAATCCCACGTGGAAAATCCTAGGGAGCCTCCTAGCCTTGAAGAGAAAATACAACTTACTCTGGCTCTCTGGAAAAACAGACGAAAACAGCCTCTGGGATCCACATTACAACTTTTGGCCATTTCTATGATGAACTGCATCACAACTGCCTGGTGTGCTACTTGTTCCATCAGAGCTCCTTTCTGGAAACAAGGAAGTTACATAGTTGAAAAAGACTTTCGGCAAGTGTGCAGCTACTATTTTAGGAGTACTTTCCATCTGAACCATGAAGAGATGAGAATTGGCACTTGGAAAAGTAGAAGAATTGATAATAAGTTATAATGAAGAAAGAGATTTTGACCAACAAGGTAACTAGAAATGTGGGGCAGTAATAGGTCACATTAAATGGCTTATCAACTTGAATCACCTTGCTGTAGGAAAACTTGTAAGTGGGAAAAATTGCACTTTCATACAGACTCAAGCAATTTAAGATTTGTCCAATACCTGTTCAGCTTCTAGATGAAAACACCATAAAATGAGATATCTAGCTGTTTCTTCACATACAAGGTATGGGTGATCTGATAAAAATCTCTGACTATCATCCCATCTGCTCAGCATGCCTAATGAAAAAAGAATCAGAAAAATCAAGTGTCATATACCCGAAAGCTTGGCAAGAAGAAGTTTTCCAACTATTTGAGTCGGTCTAATAAAAGATATCAGATTTACCCAAAGAACCTTGTCTGCCATTTGTATAAGAACAATTTATTCTTCAGAGCTGAGAGCTATTTTAATGTAGCAGAGACCATAACTACCTTCCGACTGGTATATATTAGCACAAAAACTTCTAGACACTTCACTGCAATCTCAGAGGTAGCGTGCAAATTAAATTAAATTTAGCCTTTTCCAACTCTTACTTGAGCAAACAACCAGAACATTACAGACCGTATGATCAGACAAACACTACAAGTAATTGAGACCACTTATTAACGAAAAGCCTTTCAGAGTTAGCAGGTAAGGCATGAAACAAAACGGACAGACAATGACGTATGTGGCTTGTTGAGGATTTTTTTTTTGTTATATAAAAAGTTAATCTTTGCAAGGGAATATTAGTCCAAGGGAAAAGGTCAAATGAGAAAGAGAAGGCATTGTGGGGAAAGAAATACAACTTTGCGTGCATTCTCTACAGTATGTGCAAGTGTGCAGGCATTTACTCAAAATTCAGGTCATGAGACTAGGGTTTGTTTTTTTTTTTTTTTTAAATACACAAACTGGTTTTAATTATGAGATTTGAATAGTATTGAGATCCATTTAAGCTGTGGGTCCAGTAAGGAGATGCAGTGCTTCATCATTCTGTATCATATTTGTGAATACAGAAAATTGGTAAATTACTGAATAGTCAGACATAACTGCTTCAAATTTGTTCCTAATGAACATATGGCCAAAAATAGCAAACCACGTACAATTTTTTGCACTTTTCAGCAGAAATGTCACAGACAAAAAGTACATTTAAGACGCATATCTCTTCTTGCTTGTCAGGCCATATAGATTGAAGTCTCCACTGCCTCTTTTGTGTCTGTTCAGTAGCTAGAATAGTTCTGTTGCTCCACTGCCAACGTAATAGATTAATTTAAACTGAGAGAACACTAAAAACTGTCTTCTGATGGGGTAATATTTTAATATTTTTAGTTATATGTACAAAGACAGCAGGAGAAAGCTGCATCTTGCAACTGATTTGGATACATAAGTTTATAACCATAAACTCAGCTGAACAAGCAGCCAAGAGATTTACACAGCCAGTATTCAAAGAGGTAAAATAAAGACTCAGTAGACACACTGCTGCAACAAGGCTGTTCCTGTATCATCATCTCGTTCAAAAGATCTCAGAGGCAGACCTTGAACCACTGGACACCTGTGGAACACTTCCTTGCAGGCTGCAGAAAAGCTAGCTAGCCATATCATGCTGACTCTCTATGTTCTCAGCTATTATATTTCACTGAAAGACAGTGAAATCTGAATTAATTGTTAAATACTTTTGTATGTAAGCTGTTGCTTTCCTGGTTGCAGGGAGGTTATGCAACCAGGAGTGGAAAGAGGTGACCTATCCCATTACTAAAATACCATACTATGAAAAAAGCAAAAAGAACTCTGAAATTCCAGAATATTTTCCATAGTACAGCTTTCAGTTTCACACAGAAATGAACGATTAACTTTAGCTTTAAATATTTCTCATTTTTACCAAGGTCATTATATTAGGTTTTAAGTTTTCTGAACACAAGAGCAATAATAAAGACCCATTCAAATTTACAGAATTTTCTGTTGAAGGTGACTGAGTTTCAATACTATAAGACAGTACACAATAGGCAATCCTATCATAACTATAAAAGACCAATTTGCACGTGGAAAAAAGGAGCACAGACAGATTTAAAATCAAGTTTTAGCTGTAGAATTAGTGACATCTAGTGGATAGTTTGCCGTATTTGGATACACAGTCATGGTGTTCCATGGCATGTGGATCCATGTCATCTGGCCTACTGGGTTCTGCCTAGGTCCAGAAGTTTGGTGGCAGCGGAGCCATGGTGATTATTGCTACCATATTTCCAAAGTCCAAAGCTAGATGACATGGTTGTGTGTGCTGGATCAAGCTGGGGTGAGAGGCATAATCTGGGTATGCAGGTCTGGAGCTCTCCTGCTCGGATTGCATCCTCATGCCAACCCCATACTGGATCAGGCTCAGGGAACAATCCCGTGCACTGGATCTGGCTTGTGTACCAGCTCTGAAAGGTTGGGCACTGCTGGGACAGACCATTCCATGCCTCACTTACTATGAATAGCTGTTAGCTTGATTTAAAAGCTTTTTCTTCTAGTAAAACCATTGTGTCTATTAAAGTTCTGTCTTTGCCATGTAAGCCATAAAGGCAACACAGACAAAGATGCGTGCGCGCACACACGCGCGCACACACACACACACAATACCAAGCACTTTTATAGACAGGATTTGACAAATACATCTGTTAGTACCCAATAATACACAGTATTCCCCCATGACACATTTGGAAAGGAGGGTGCAGATCAAGATGGGAAAGGAATCATTAATCAGTTTCTACAGCATTCAACGCCAGTGCAGTGCCTAGAGGCCAATACCTAACTATCATTTTCCCCAAGCAACACTGTGAAACAAACAAGAACTGTTCACTCTGCAACAAGTTTTATGAAAGCCTAGAGTAAGAGCATAAGCAGGTAAGAAAGAAAGACTCCCCCCGCCCCCACCCCACCAAAAATCCCACAGTCGCAACATTCTCTGGAAGCAGTGGTGATTTTCTCCTAGTCTCTCCTTGCTTTTCTCCCCAAAGGTGAAACTCTCAGCCTTGAAGGTGCTTTGTGCTCAATGCAGCAGAACAAGTTTACAAGAGTTTTTAATATCTGAACTGTTAGAAATTTAGTCACTCAGCTGTCATTCCCATGGACAGATACACTTTCAATAAACAAAGGAGCCAATGTTTACCCTTCAAAAAAACAACCCATCAAAACTTAGCTTGTCATTGGTCTAATATCAATTTCCACAGAACTGCAGGTTAAATCGCTAGATCCCTTCATTGCAGAATAACAGATTTGCCAAGCACTGAATTTTATTAAAAACACTTAGTCATGGTGGAATCCAGACTTCTAAGGATGTAGTTTCCTCTCCTTTAAAATGACTATTTTTTCTTTTGAGCATCAAAAATAAAATCCCAGCACCCTGACAGGTAAGAAACTAGATGCTGGTCTCTGCTAATCATTGGTGCTGCCCATTTTGTAAGAAAAACAGAAAGAGTCTAGCTACACCCAAAGAAGAAATAAAAACTGCAAAAAATTGGGAAAAAAGTATTCTTACCAAAGTGTCTGATCTTTTGTTCATGTTTCTGCATGAATGATTTAGATGCATCTTCATCTTCTACCTCTTTTCCTGTATTTTGATTAATAAAACTCTAAGGGGAGGTGGGAAGAATATGCACGTTAGTTTCAATTACACAAAAGCCTTCACTCTGTTTTCAACTACGTCAGGCTAGAAATATCATTTTGACAGAATCATGGAGATGGAAGGGACCCCAAAGGATCATCGTGTCCAGCCCCCTGCATGAGCAGGAAAGACATCTGGGGTCAGATGACCCCAGCCAGGTGACTGTCCAGTCTTCTCCTGAAGACCTCTAGGGTAGATGATTGCACTACCTCTGGGGGGAGCTTGTTACATAGTCTGGACACCCTAGTTGATGCATTCCATTTAGTTACTTTAGCACACATAAAAACATGATGGGAGACGTAAGATTTTAAACAGCTGAAAATGGAATTACACCTCTCAATGTCTGATCCTGTATTGGTTTTTGAAATAGCAATATTGTGCTTCAAAATGTTTCCAACACTGACAGAAAGTTATGCATTTCTAAAACAAAGAATTGGTTGTTTCCTTTTATATTATTTAGTATTTGAAAGCTTGATACTGTAGACAATTGAGTGATGAACAGGAACAAGGTAATACTGGAACCAAATGCTATCATGTGAACCAATTGTTTTGGACTGATGAAACGTCTGACCCCGACTAGCCAGCGTAAACCACCTTCCATGTTTGCTATATCAGCAAAGCATACACTGCTTGGTAGTTATTAGAATAAGTAAGAAGCACACCCAACTCAAGTCTTGCAATATTGACAATTTCAGGATTTAAAGCATGCTCAATAAATTATAGTGAGAGATGCAACACAAATGCCCAGATTCAGCTACCAGTGCCACGCCTCCTATTTTTACCTAGATTTATGGAAGTTGGTTTGTACCTTATTAAATACTTCCTTGCTAACAGAATCAGTGCAAGAGAGATTCTGTTTCTCTCTCTGTATTAGCGCTGCTTCTTTTTGTCTCCATTCTTCCTCCCGCTGCCTCAGCTCTGAAGCTTCAGTCTGTGCTTTGGCATTTTCCTGATCCAAGGACTCTGAGTTGTGCAGCGCCAAACTCCCGAGCTTCTGCTGGGCTTCCGCAAGGTTCCACTTGCACTCCACGGAGCTCTTCACACACTCCTTCTGCTTTTGGCAAGCTAGTTCAATCCCATGGCTATATATCTGTATGAAAACACACACACACAGTTACATAGGGAAGCGGAAAGAACTGAGGTACTGTATGCAGAGGGATACAGTTAGCTCCACAACTGAATCCTGACATGGCAAAGTTTTTATATTCTGAACAACGACTAAGCATGGCATTACAGCAGGAGAACGTTTATCTCAGAGTTTTACCCCTCATATTTGTTCAATATACAAAGAAAAATATTTCCAGCAACTCCCAGCCTTGTGAAACGACAGACTGTGCATCAATCGCTGGTGGTGAGCCTTTTCCAAGGCGTAGCGATTGTTATGATACACAAAGCCAGGATAAATCTGCTGGCTCGCTCTCCCCATTTATTCTGCGGTGCTGGCCAAAACTGGAGTATCTGTTAGGGCCATCTGCAGCGTACACGACCATAACACCACATTAATCAATACTGTTTACGCCCCAGAGATCAAGTATCATATTTTTTTAACATGCCGCGTGGCGAGAAAACACATAAAAGCGTGACCTCCGGGAATCTTCGGGGAACCAGAAAACAGGAGAGACGCTTTGCAGCTCAAGGCCACACTGGCGCTCCGAGTCACACCGGGGGCAACGAGAGCTGCAGTGATTCTCAGCTGCTTACGCTCTGGGCTCTGCACCGGGCCAGTCTCCCTGTACCCCGACCAGCTGCTCGCTCAACCTCACCCAAAAGCCAGATATGAAGAGGGAGCTGAGGGCCCGGCACCCCCAGCCCAGGCGCCGCCCGGGGTGGGGGGGGGCGTTGCCTGCCCCGACACCGCACGGCCCTGGGGGGAGGGCGGAGCGGAGCGGGGCAGGGCGGGCGGTACCTGCGGGTGGGCGGCAGCGGGCCACCACCGGCGCCACCCGGACCCGCGAGGAGCCCCGGCCGGAAATGAGGGAGTAGATACTTCCGGCAACAGACTTGACCTCACCGCGCGCTGGCCCCGCCTCCTCGCCCGAGTCATGTGGGCCGCGCGTGTTTTCCTGCGCATGCGCGCGCAAGTGAGTAGCCCGGGAGCCACTGAGGGCGCGCGCATGCGTAGTCGGTCAGCCTCTGGCGCGGGGAGTCATTGGCTGGGGGCGGCGGGGCGGGGCGAAAGACCGGGGCGGGGAGGGGGGGGGAGTCATTGGCTGGCGCAGTCGGGGCGGTGCAAAGCCCGAGACGGAGAGGGCTTCGAGCTGCTGGGCTCCGATTACCACCGTATATGATGTTTGCGTGACGTCATACTGCATGCCATGTACGTCATAGTTTATAGTAACATTCGCTGAAGATATTACGGCTGCAGTGCAGCTTATTTTCAAGCTGGGACCGCCCTGGTCACGCGGGGACAAAATTCCCGTGGCATATCTACGTGCATGGGCGTTGCTCTGCTGCACCGCCTTCCTGCCCGTAGAGGGGGCGAGGGCCCCTCGCTGCCGTCTCTGGCTGCGGGAAGTCGCCTAGAGCCTGGCCACCTATATTGACACCCTTTTTGAACACACGAGGGTGGGGGTCTCTACTGCAAACATAACCTTAGGCTGCAACCCATAGCTGAGAGCTGCCTTGGCTTTTTTTATATGTATACCAGGCTCATTGTGTAATGCACGCACACAACTATCAGTTGTTGTAAAGCGGCAATACTTAGGAGTTTCCGAAATGAGAGCAGTGAGTCTCCACCAGGTGCAGCAGCACCCCAGGCTGTCTGGAGATCCTTTCAACTGCCACAGGGTGCCACACAATGGCAGCACTGTTAGGTGTGCAAATCCGAGTCACAAGAGAAACCCAGGGGTTTCAAATAGAAATCCACAGCTGTAGCCTTTTGGGGTTTTTTTCACAACAGAAAAAAAAGCTGTCATTTTTTTCTGTAGTGAAAAAAAAGGGCGGGGGCTGGGGATGAAAGAGCTGCCAGAATCTGTGGGGTGCCTTGAATCTATCCAGGGGTGCCCCAGGTCTATCCAGGAGTGCATCCAGTCTATCCAGGGGTGCCTCGAGTCTAAAAAGGTTGTGAACCACTAAACTAGAGGTTACTAGGCTGATTAGGTGCAGACTTCCTAGTGTGTGGCAGGGAGAAACAACCAAAAAAGCAAACTAAAACAACAAACTACCTTGTTTGCCTAGAGACCACAGAGAAAAATATCTTTTGCGAATGAACATGTTGGGGGAACATGAACATTTCCCCCCTCCTGAAGGTTGGGACTGAGAGGCTGGGAATGTGGAGCAAGTCCTAAAGAAACCTAAACCATCACATGCCCAGGGTGACACAAACGCTGCCCCCAACAGCACAGCTTGCACCCAGGCCTCACCCAAAGCCAACACAGAGGCAAGTACAGGCCTGGCAAGTGGGACTTTGCCTGGTGCCACCATCTTAGGCATGGCCTGCTACATGCATGCCCACTGCCACACCTTGCAGCTTCTGTGGTAGGCAGCGGGGTGCAGATCTTCAAGACCCATGTTACACATACTCCCCTCCCCCCACACACACTTGTGTGCACGCACGTGGCATGCAGATGTCACCTGTGCAGGCAGCCTTGCACACGCACGCCCTGACCCCCCACTCCCAGACCGCATGGAGCAAGGATGGGGAGATTTCTTTCCCTGGCCGCACCCCTCTCCCCCAGCCCGCCGGCCGTGTCCGGGCAGGCGCAGAGCTGGGTGCCACGCGCCCGCAGGGGGCGCCCAGCCGCTGTCTCAGAGTTCTGAAGACTGAACGTTGCAACATTTGCGTTTCCATGGCAACGCGACGCTTCCCCCCCCCCCCCACTACCCCGGGAAGAGCCGCCCATATCCAGGGAAGAGCAGCCCAGGGGCCGGCGGAGCTGGGCCGGGGAAATCCCCCTCTCTGCCCCCCCTGCGGAGGCTCCGGGGTCCTCCCACCCCCGGCGCCCGACCCTGGGGCGAGATGCCTCTGAAGGTGGTGGTGGAGCTGCAGATCCACGCGGTGAGGGGCAGGGCAGAGGGTGGGGAGTGATGCTGCTGGAGGTTTGAGCTTTCCTAGCAGAGCCCGCTGACCTGCGTTGCTCTGCTGCTCTGAAATCCCCACGGCTGGAGCAGTTTTCCGCGTTACTGCCACCAGGGTGTTATTGCTTCCCTGCTCTGCAAAGGGAGCAGGAGGCCGCTGTAAGTGTCCCCCAGCTGCCCTCACAGCAAGGCTGGGATGAAATTACCCTACACAGGGTGCAGCCATACGCCACTGCCTTGCTTTTTTTCCATGGGTTTAGCTCATCAGCCACAAGACTGCAAAGGTCTGTTTTGGTCACAGGGATACACAATGTGTTTTATAGTTTCATAGTTGTTTGAGGGCTGGAAGGGACCTTACAGATCATCGGGTCCAGCCCCCCTGCGCTTGGGCTGGAAAGACTGCTGGGATCTGATGACGCCAGGAAGATGAGTGTCAAGATGCTTTTTGAAGATTGGCAGGGTGTCTCAGGGGGCAAGTGTGGAAAGCCAAGTGTATGGCAGCTAAGGACGTCTGTGTGAGAATGGAAGAATTGCTGATTTAACCTGTCAGGATCAAACATTGCATTAGTTCAGCTATCCTCAACCAGGGTGATGTGAGGGTGGCAGGGTGCTTTGCAATATTAGCACTGGGAGGTATGCAAGCATCTATATGTGATTCACAAAATAAACCCTGAGATTTCAAACTGGAATCATGCTGACCTGTTGTGGGCTTTCTGGGTTCTTTGCAACAGAAGAATTTCTCTGCTACTTTTCTGAAGGCAAAAAAAATGATTGGAATGGAAAAGCTGGACTTTTCCAAAAGGTGCCTTGAGGTGAATAAGGTTGAGAATCACTGGTTAAACAAATGTCAGGACTCCTCTAATTGTGCATTTGTCTTTTGGAGGATTATTGTGGCTGTTCAGAGTCTACTCAGAAGAGATTATAGTAATCTGTAGCACTTTGATAGGTCTTGCGAGTAGATGGAGAAATAGCTCTTTTAAAAAAAGTTTCTTTTAGCTGCTAGCCTTCCAGTCATCTCCTTCAGATATAATATTTCAGTGTCTATTAAGTAAAAGGCTAATATCCAAGAAATCTGTCTGGTTGCATGAATACAATTGTTGGGGAACAGAAATTGCCACATAGATAAACATATGGAATAGACCTCTCATTCAAAATTTCTGAAGTAAAGGAACAAACCCAAAGAAAACATGTTGAGGCCTCATTCTGCAATACTTCCTTGATTTTCAAAGCAATTTTGCCGGAGTCAGGGATTCGATGGTTGGAGCTTATCTATGTATTGTATCTGTTTATCAGCAGTATAGTGTATTAGTGATGGAATACATTAGTTGACAGAGGAAAACAATACTAAGAATCAAACAAATGAATTAGTATTTGGTTGAGGGACTCTGAAAACAATGCAAGAACTACATGGCAGTTGTTGCAACTGTGTATATTTTAAATCACACTGCCTTTATCTCTGGAGCATATTTTAAGGACAAATTCCAAAGGTGTAGAGTAGTCATGCCATGCCATGCCATGCCATGCCATAATATGCAGTTATAACAGGTATATTGTTTTTGAGTTTATGAATCCAGACTCATGGATAAAGATCTATTCTCAAGGGTTTTCAACTTCATAGTCTTTCTGGTACAACACTGCTGATGAAAAAAATCAGGCAGGCAACCCTGGGCACTCTACACAAGACATTTATTGCAGAGGTGCCTAAAGTAATTAGTTCTGCAGTAAAGTCTCTTTATCTACATGTCCAGCCCTATTAGGCTGGGGTAAACTAACTCTGCCATAGGTTAGTACTTGTAAATACAAATATTATCCTATGGCAGATTTCTTTAGTTTGCAGCAACACATGTGTAGATGCTGATGGGACTGGCTGGGGCACAAGAGTGCTTCAGTGCGGGGGCTGCCTGCTGACTAGCCCTGCATGGAAGCACCCTTGTGCCCCAGCCAGCCCCTCCACAGCATGTTGAGCTGGGTTGGACCAGCCCTTGGCTCACAGGCTGAACCCCCAGGGTCTTTGCCAGCTGGGGCTGCTCCGACTCTGCTCAATGTGCTGTGGTCCTGGGCACACGTGTAAATGTGTTGCCCAGGAGCAATAAACTCCAGCATGATAAGTGTTGGAGTTAATTGTGTTGTATTAATTGCATGTATAGACATGCCCCCTGACTATTAAAATGATGCAACATGCTAAGAATGAAAAAATGATGCAAACGTGTTCCGGTTAGAATACATGCCAAAGATGGGGGATTCAGAAGTGTCATGGTAACTTATGAGCACAAGTTGCATTTAAAGTCTTGTGGTAACTTCTGATTGTAAATTAACAGAGGGACTTTGGCATATCCCATTCCAGAAGCCCAGATCTGCCTTTCTGTACACAACTGTAATTTCTATTAATGTAACTGAAGGCGGAACTGGGTTCTAAGGACACATCTACACTGCCTCTGGACTGTGCTGGGGAGCATTGGGGATGCCTTCTCTGCACATGCTGGACTCCAAAAGAGATGCTCTAGGCATGCATGCCAGTACACTTGATGTTTTAGGTGTGCTTACTCCTGTCATAAGGCAGCTGTATTACATCCATTTTGGGGTGTAGTATGCTCAGAGTGAGGATGCTGTGCTCGCTGTCACACTTCCCAGGGACTGTGATAGAGAGACTCCTGTTGACTGCTTCCATAGGAAAGTCAATGGCATAGACACTGAGCTACCCTCTCAGCTGTAGCAGCGATTCTTGCAGATTGTGCTTGATGCATATTGATGACAGTGTGGGGAGGTATGACCAGGAACATTCAGATAACCATGGTTGTTTTCTTTCTTTCATAAGGTCACGTGCCCTGGTGTGTTCTTGCCAGAGAAACATGGCGTTTACCTCAGTGTCTGCATCCTGGGTCAATACAAGGAGACAGACTGCCTTCCTCCAATTTTTCCCCTCTTGTTTCATGAGAAGATGTGGTTTGAAAAGGTGATTTTCACTTGTTATATGATTTAGGCTTGAGTCTCTACACTACAACATTCACTTATTTGATTTCAAGAAGCATTTTTGTTCTAATTTACATGTGTTTGTGTAGCGTACACAGAGGTGATTGCACAATAGCTTAAAATGAAGTCTTACTCTTATATATAGGGCCTCCATAAAATCCTTGTGCACATCTACATTTTAATAACTTAGGTTGTATGTATGATAGAAACAATCTGTAAACGGCATTTAAAAGCAAATTTATTAAATTTTTAGGACAACTAGAGTACACAGTGCTAGACTTCATAAGTAATAATGAATTTATTCTTAAATAAGATGGAGCTCTGTGCCACTATGCTCTGAATGTATGACAGTTTCTAAATGATGTTTTTCCAGACAAGTGGCTAGGCAGAGGTGGACTAATTGATTGGCCACCTCGTTCACCTGACCTACCGCTGTTGGACTTCTTTTTATGGGGACATGTTAAAAGTGTAGTTTACTTGTCAAAACCATGTTCTTTGGTGGAACTTAGGGCTAGGATCGCCAATGCAATTAGTGCAGTAACTCAAGACCAACTGGGAAACATTTTCAAGGAGTTGGAAGATCGGATTGAGCACGGTATCATGATGGATGGTGGTTATGTTGAAGTCTAGCATTGTGTACTCTAGTTTTCCTGAAACTTTAATAAACTTTTTTAAATGCCATTTTCAGATTGTTTCTATCATACCTACAACCCAAGCTATTAAAGTTTAAAAGTGCACAAGGACTTTATGAAGACCCTGTATTGTGAGGGAGGATGGTGGGGGACATGGAAGGGTGGGTCTAAGTTTATGGGGGGCTGTAGGTGTGTGGATAAGTGGGGTGTGGGTGGGTATGCTCTCTCTCTCTGCCTCCCTCACTGCACACACAGACTGTCCCCCATTGCGCACAGGCACACACACACACACACACACACACACACACACACACACACACAGAGTCTCTCCCTCCCTCATTGCTCTCTTTTTCTCTCTCCCCCCATCCCTCATTGCAGAGATGTGAGTGCACACATGTGCACACACACTCTCTCGCTCCTGGCCCTGGGGTACCAGCACGGGCCTTATGCTCCTGCAGTCCGGCGGGAGTGTGGGGCACGTGGTGCTGGAGCAGCTGGTGGGCATGCAGGGAAGCAGTGAAAGCTGCAGCAAGCAGAGGCTTCTGGGTAGGGGGGCAGGGGTGAGAGGGGGTTGGGGATGGGGCGGGCCTGGGCTGGCCTTGCTACTGAGTCCTGCCAGCTCCCCCTGGATCCTACTGCCCTTGTCTCCTGTCAACTTTGACAGGCAGCCAGGAGCAGATAAATACAAATTTTTTAAATTTTTAGGGGCCCCGCAGGCCAGATAGAATGGCTTGGTGGGCCAGATGTGGCCCACGGGCCATATTTTGCCCACCCCTGCTCTACAGTTTGAACCCTTTATGGTCATTAATACCTGTACAAACTGGGTGTAAAACTTTACAGCTAGAGAAGTCTGTTCTGATGTAATTTTAAATTCACTTTCTGCACAAAGGAACAGGTTTTGTATTTCTATAACCCTCTGCAATCTGAATTTCTTTTGACAGTAGTGACATTTGATGGATATGGACGAATGATTAAATTGCAGTGGTGTTAGGTAATCTTATATAATCTCCGAACAACAGTGGCATATTAGGATACTTGCTCTGAAATAATTTTGTTGAAAACTTTTTTCTGTGGAAACAAAACAATATCTCCTTTTTTGGATGACTATCTTTGTTCATGATTTTCATGATACCAGCAGACAGATAACTAAAAATAAAGACCTAAAGAAGTGACAGATAAATTCCTTTACTAATATTTCATGTGCCATTTTAAAATCTGCAATAAGTGAGAATACAAGACCTCATCTTTAATTTTCTTGGGAGCAAATAAGGCTTGGATAATTGTAAAATGTCTTGAAATGGTTTTGGAAATACTTTGCTCTGTGTCTATGCTGCAAATACATTTCTTGAACATATATTCTTTTAAAACAGATGTAATAACACTTGTGTCTCTCCCTAGCGGTCTGTTGAATACCTTGAAATCACTATAAGAGTAATCAGGTTTTAAGTGTTGTTCCTAGTCCCCCTTGTTCTTTCTGTAGTTGTTCTTGTTCTGCTCTTTTAGAAGAACCCAAGCTCTGCTTTAATTAACTACTCTTTTGACATTTCTAGTAAAATTCCTTCCTCTAAAGGACATGGTGGTATTTCCCTCTCTCCCTAGGCTGTGGGGAGCATTGAAGATGAGCAGAGAATGAATCAATAGACACAGGGGCCTTAGTGGACCCTTTTTAATGTTTTCCAATAGAGAAAAGTGCTTTCTTACCTTGTGTTATTTAACTTAGGGTAACTAACACAAGGAGGAATCCTAGTGAAGACAAAAACAATTATAGTTTTAACGTGTGTCCACATGTCAAGATAAATCCTAGCCTACCTTTTAATCTAGGGCCCAAGGGCCTCATGTGGCCTGCAAGGAGTTAATTTGTGGCCCCTTGGCTCCTACCCAGCCACTGCTACCCCCATCACTGCAGCTGTAGTTGCAGCTGGAGTCACTGGCCTTTCCCCCTCCTTCTTCCAGCTTCCATTTCCTGCCACTGCCCCAAAGGGCATTGCTGTGTGATAGCACAGCCCAGTGGGTTCCAGGGGAGCCTGTAGCCTGGTATACTGGTGCAACATGATGCAGCACTAAAGTCCATGGTCAAGAAACTGAGGGCGAGTCTGGGGTGCCTGTACATGTGGGGCAGTGATGGGGGTGGGGGGTGGGAGAAGGGGGACGTCTGTGCAGTGTGCAGCCTGAGGGGCCTGTGGCTTGCCTTTGGTGGGGTGGTGCATAGGGGTCGCAGCCCTGTTACAAATTGGTCAGATCAGCCTTAATCCTTACTTAAACTTCTTACTAACATGAAAACTACAGACTGGCTTATCTTTACTGTGATTTTATCTCATGCTAGTTACCATGTGTTAGCTAAAGATTTTTTCTTAGTGAAGATGCACTTTGGTTTGGTCTCTTCCAGAAAGACTGTCACTAGTGTACTGTCCTGCAAGCTTCAACAATACCATATTTTCTTGCATATTACATATTCTGGAATATAATATGCATCTTATTTTTGAAAGGCAGAATGAAGAAAAAAGATTTTTCCAGAGTTACAGCTTCATAGTGCAGGGACAGAACCTATTCTTCACCTGATTCACCTTCCCTTTCCTGTTTGACTAAAGCTGCAACCCTAGTTGCTGCTGAAGACTAGTCTCTATGGGTGGATCTGTGATTCTGAAAAGATCTAATAAGTTTCCAGAGCTATGAAATTGGAGGCAAGAGAGACCAGGAGCAGCGAGTGGACAAGAAAATTGCCACAAAAAAGCTTAGCTTGATTGGTGGAACACTAAGACCATTACAAAGGAGAGAAGATCATTAACACCTGTGGAATGAAAAACAACGATCCATTAAGTCAACTGATTCTCTTAGCTGCATGAATAATAATGTCACAGTTGCTGCAGTGTGAGCAAGAATCAAAGCAGGGTGCTTCTATCCGGGGCAAAAAATCAGCTTCCCTGCTTAATACATGCACTCCAATTTGATTTGAGGAGGGGAGGGGGGCGCGGAGGGA